CCGGGCCCCCGCAGGCGGCAAGTGAGGCCCGACAAAGGGCGGCAGGACCAAGAGGCCGGGGCCCACATTCACGCCGGAGCGCAGCCATGGGGGTGCCGGCCCCCCTGGGGCACCATCGAGACGCGCTGCCAACCTCCCCGAGCTCCGCTGCGGGGAGACGGGGTCACGAGCGGCTTCCAGCACCGGGCTCTTTACATGACCGCACTCGACACTCTAGGAGAATGGAGAACTACGGGCCAGGTGAGAAATAGAGAGGATAAAAATTAACCTCTGGGTCAAAGCAGAGCCCCAAAGAACAGTCTAAACCGGAAGCTTGTGCCCCTTCCCAGGGCCGCTCCGGGAGGGGCACGGCGGCCTGGCTGGGGCGCAGGGTGGGGGCAGCCCCGCCTCACCACAGGGCCCCGCACAGCCCTGGCCTCTCCTCCGCTCTGCGGCGGCCTCCAAGAGGACACTCCACCTCACACTGAACGGAAGCGCTCCAGCCGTCCCGTTTCCAGATGGGGAAACTGAGGCAGGAGCAGACACGGAGGGCTGGACGCAGAGACGGGCTCCCCGCAGGAAGGAGAGGCCTTTGGCCCGGCCATCGCCCGACTGGCCCTGCCTGGGCTGCCCTGCCGGCCGGCAGGCCCGAGTCTCAATGCAATCTGAGTGCGCAGGGGCGCTGGGGCGCCCGGCTGCTCCGGGACTCACACGGTCGCCCCGTTCAGCGCCTCCTCCACCGCCTGGCAGTAGATGGTGACGGCCACGCGGGCGTCGGCGTCGAAGGTGAACTCCAGGCTGTAGAGCACCCGAGGCTTCTCGCCGTCCGCGCAGGGGCTGTCGGCGTCGTCTTTGTACCTGTGGGGCAGCAGCCTGTCAGGGGGGGCGTGACCCCGTCCTGAGCTCCGGTGTCGCCTGCCGGCACAGGGCCCCGCAGGGAGCAGCCAGGCCCCTCCATCCCACCGTGGGGTCTCCACCACTGCTCCCCACTCGCTGGTGTGGGGCCAGAGCGTCTGCCCACCTGCACCAGCGGTGCCCACCCTCAGGCCAGGAGCGGCCGGACAGCACTGGGGGCGCGAGCAGACAGCCCTGGTTGAAGGGCTCGGCCCCCCCCAACCCTGCCAGGAAGTCAGCCCGTCCCCCCAGCACCGCGGCCAGTTACCTCACGAGCCGGAGGGAGTCTTTTCGGATGTTCACCAGGCTCCTCAGCGTCTTCACGGGCTCATGAGGTGCCGGGGTGACGTAAGGAAACTGGAGGGAAGACCCCAAAGCCGCCTGAGCCGACCCGGCCCCCCTCCCACGCCCACCTCAGCCACCAGCTGCTTCCTTCCTCCTCATCTGCACCCCCCGGCGCCGCCAGGTGAGTGGCGTCTGGGGAGACGATCAGGGAGTGATCAGGGAAGTGCTCCGGCCTGGGCTTTCCCTCCGCCCTGCCCTGCGGAAGCTGCTCTCTTCGCCGGGGCAGACCCAGAGCCGCTGAGGCACCACGCACACCTCACGCCGACGGCCGTCCCTGTGCCGGGACGCAGGCCGAGACCCACCTGGACCGGGCGGTTGCCCAGGAAGTTCAGGTCCATGTTCTCCCCAAAGAGGTACCCTTCAGGGTGGGGGGTGTCGAACTTCTCGCCGCCCATGAAAAAGTGGGAAGCAAAGTAGTTTCCTGGCCCAAAAAAAAAAAAAAGGCCACACGTTTGCAGGTGACGGCTGGGGAGCACCCGAGAGCAGCCCCAGGAGCTCCCCGAGAGAAGCAGGCCCTGCCCTGCGCTGGGCTCCAGCCCGGCCAGGCCCTTCCGCCCGCCCATCCCACACGGCCGCCCGCGGGCGAGCTGCGTCCCCCAAGGCAGGCCCCGACCCCGGGCCGTGCTCGGGGCCTGGCAGGGAGGCGGGGCCTTGGCCGGGCACCGCGACGGGCAGACGCACCGGGTGCTCGGTGTGGGAGGGACAGGGAGATGGGGGCCCCGACACACGGAGGATGGGGAGCGAGGAGGAGCGGCGGGGGAGGCGGCCGAGGCAAGGCCTCTGGGGCCCAGAGAGCAGGGGCCTCTGAGGTGTTCCCAGGGGCTAAGGCGGCACCCACACCCCAAACCCAAGCCCTTCAGAAGCATCTGCACCCCGACCCACCCACCTCCTCACCACAGGAAGCGGAGGCGCGGTTGAGGCGCGGTCTCGGTCCCCTGGTGTCCGCGCAGAGGCGGCCCCCCCCCGGGCAGCCCCGCAGGGTCCCCAACCGCTGGCCTGGCCAGCGGCTGAGTAGAGACTCCTCAGCGCCAGAACAGCCTGGGAGCGGGCTGCTGGCTGGGCAGCGTCCTCAGAGTGCCCACACACCTGACGCCCCACCCGGGGCCGCCCTCACCTGCGTCCTGGGCGGTGCCCACACAGCCTCGCCCCACCTCCGCGCCAGGCTCTGCGGCTCTGGCCAGCAGGCCGTCGCCCCGCCCGCCGTGGGTTCCTAGGCCGCTGCCAGAGGCCCGGTGGGCAGAAAGGCCACCCCCGCGCCCAGCAGGGGACGTGGGCCACACAGACAGCCTCACCCACCCGACACAGGGGCGTCCTCACCCCGAGCAGGCCTCAGCCAGTGCCCGGCTACACGGGGCTGACGTGGCCCCTTTGCAGAGGTCCCGGGAACCAGGCGGCTCCCCACTCCAGCGGGCCACGAAGCCAAGGCCACGGCTGCCAGCCTGCGGCCCGGCCCCCACTCACCGTGCCGCAAGCCGTGTCCTGCCCACCCCCCGGCCTCCAGCCCCACTCGCCCCGTCCTGTGAGCCGGCCTCCTCCCAGGCCGCCCGGCAGCGAGGAGGCCACCGCCAGGGAGCGCCACCGCTGCCCCGCAGCCCGCCGGCCAGTGCCCACCTCCCAGAGGCCGCCGTGGGCTGCGCCTAGCGGCTCAGGCCCAGCTCCCTGGAGCCGCCGGCCACGCGTGTTAACGGGGCTCCGGCTCGGGAGCCCGCGCTGGTCCCACCGGCAGACGCCAGTGACAGGTACCCTGGGCCAAAGACCAAAGACGGGGCCGGAGGGGGCCGCGCCGCCCTGGGTGCGCCGGCTGGGGCAGCTCAGAGCTCAGGGAGGTGAGCACGGGGGCTGCCAGCAAGCCCGAAAACTCAGGAGCAGCCGGGGTGCCCCCGTAAGGAGCAAGGAGGTGCTGCACCAGACCCCAGGCCCTGCTTCCCTCCCGCTGCCCGACTCCTGCAGGATGGAGCTCAGGTGCGGCCACCGTGGGTAAAGCCGGCCACTGACAAGCCGCCCAGCACGCCCTAGAAACACCCCTGACCCTGGGACGGGCCCTCCCGCCCAGTCTTCACGCGTACCCCAGCAGAGCAGAAGGCGAGAAGGGACAGCCGGACAGCTCGCCGCGCCGCCCAGAACACCGCAGCGACCCCAGCTGCCGGCGGCCGGCTCCGCCATCGCTGACCCGGCGAGCAGGGTCCAGGCAGCTCGGTCCCCAGGGCGCCATTTGAGCGCATCTGCGGTCGGGGGCCAGGAGCCCCGCGGCCCACAGCAGAGGACCCGCGGGTCCCACCACGTCTCGCCACCCCCCCGACTCCGCCCATGGTCTCCCCGGGCCAAGTCACGCACCACCCACACATCGGGGCCCAGCACCCCGGACTCCGTGCCCCTCCTGTGGCAGGAGCAGCACCGCGCCCGCCGGCAGAGGGCAGAGACGGCCACGCGGGCCTGGCGCGGGGCAGAAGCCACCCACGAGGCTTCGACTCCGGCCCCCGCAGCCCGCGGCAGAGCTCCGGCCAGCAGGGCGGGCAGCGCAATGAGCCGAGAGCAGGCCCGGGGGAGGTGCCGCCCACCGAGTGTCCCCACGCGGCTCGGGCCGCCGCTGGGGTGTGGGCTTCCTCAGCTTGCCTCCCTTTTCTGGAAGTGGCCTCCCACAGTGGCTGCCCACAGTGGACACCCGACCGTGCTGGCCAACAGCCTCCTCTCC